TTAATCAATGATCAAATTAATTCTACGCAAGAAAAATGTTCAGCAATATTTTTGGTGGGAGGATTTAGCGAATCCCCTTATTTACAACGTAGGATTAAAGATAAGTTTAGTACACAAGTTTCCATTATTACTGTTCCAACTTTACCAATAGCAGCAATAGCTCGGGGTGGTATCGCGTATGGTCTTAATGTCTGTGCTATGCAAGATAGAACGTTGAAGTGGACATATGGAGTTGAGGTTAATCGCCCATAGGTAATTTTATTTTTTATTTTTTTTATTCTTTTTTTTTTTTGTAAATTTATATTCATATAATTTAGGTTTCTGGTAAGGATAAAAGAACTAGACATTCTTTATTCCATAAATTGGCGCAACGTGGTGCAAAGGCTAATGTTGATCAAAAATTTGGGGAGAATTTTATCCTTCAAGGCCAGATCAAGAAATTTTAAATTTCTGCATTTATTATACAAAAAATATTTAAAGTGTGTGAACTGTTCTTAGTCGAATTCTTGGTAACTTTTCTTATATTTCTTTATGTATTATTTTATATATTGTCACATACGTTTTAAATAAAGAATCTAATAAAACACTAAAAGATTTGTTGATCGACACTAATAATTAGTCCGGAGGACTATATATGTCTGTGCCCGGTGTCTGTTTGTCCGCCCGCTCAAAAATTTGAGTCGATACATGGTTGGTCCTTTTCGCTACACTTGTGCTCCGGAATTAACAACGGTTTCCGAACCGTTCCTAGTTTACAGCTGTTTTCATATTTTCAGGATAAAACAAATTTTGAACCTGACACCCGATCCGATATGCGGGTATCAGGTTATCATGTGTTTCTGGATTTTGTACTAAAAAATAAACTAACTAAATAAACTATAACCGATAAACAAATACCAGACATTATTGTCCTAATAGTAATCGCGTATTCGCGTATTACAATCTCTGAATCTGCAAACAAAATGTTTGTATTCACGTGATCCGATACCCGCATATCAGGTCGGGTGTCGGGTTCAAAATTTATTTTGTCTCGAAAAATATGAAAACAGCTGTTATGGAAAGGCTTGATTTGAAGAATCAGCAGATTAATGCGAAATATGGGGAATCGTCATCCTAAAAAGGAAATCGGTCAAAAACTAATCTTCTGTTAATGTTAGCCTAACCTATCATGTCAGTCAAACTTAACATAGCCCAGGCCCACTGAGCGAAGGATGTTCATATAGAATTTAATTCGTTGTTAAAAAACTGTGATCAAATTTTGACAACAATTAGCCAGATCAAATTTGAATTACAATTATCCCGATGAAAATTGGAAATAATTTGATCTAGACAAATTATGGAATGTATTAATAAAAATTAAATAATATGTGGTAAAACTTGGAATAATAATTAAGTAAAGATAAGCAACAATTGAAATATAACATATTATTATAATAAAACTAAACAATTAGCAATACGAATGTTTATTGTTTCATTAATTTAATTAAAAAATAAATTGCCTCTATTTAGATTATATAAATATATATATATTAATAATAACAAAAAATAAAACAAGTATAATAAAGACGTAAAAGTTTCAACGTTATGGAAAAGATATTATTTCGTTATATCATATAGGATGATCGCTAAGAAATCAGGCTCTGGGAATTTTTTGACTATAATTAAGATCTTATTACACCCAAAAAGGACATATTTTATAAAAAATATATATATATATATATATTGATCGCTGCATTAACGAAGGTATTGTAGGCGAAACCAACCAATTCATATATATTAAATAAGAAAAAGCAAAACAATAAAGAAAGAAATTAAATTTTGGAAGCGATTTAAGCAAAGAGTAAATTAAGGGAAAATAGGGCGCGTTCGAAGAAATCGAAAATAAAAAACCACACATTGATTGGCGCCTTATAAATAACTAAAATGAATCATCAGACATCACAAGCGGGCTTCAGAAATTCGAATCTTTTTAAAAGGTTAAAAAATGTTTAACATATTAAAGCAAACACACAACCTTGAAATTGTCATTTAACAGATTCTTTTAGTGACCTTTGAAAATATTGAAAATGTTATATACTTAAATCGCTGATAGAAATACCATTTTGTTTGTCCATAATAAATCAGTTAATGTTAATTTTATTTATTTAAATTGAACACAAATCAACTTGTACACAACATAACGGCACCACCTATATCTAAAAATCCTCTTAAAATTCCAACACACCCTTTGTTCAATAATCCAACTATATACTTTCTTAACTCCAGAAAAAGATGCAATTCTTGCTCGCTTGTTAGTTTAATATTCCAGTTCAAACTTGCCGGTAACTAATTTCTGATTTAAAATGTTACTATTATTTTTGCGCACTTAAAGATTTGTATCTTCTACTAAATCAGTTTTAACCCGGGTTTGTGTCTTCGCCAAAAAAAATCAAATTGTTGCTTATTTTCGGAGGTTTATGATCACGAGATCAAAAGGCTACAAAAAAAAAAAAATTTTTATCATAATATAATTGCGTGTCGAAAGGCGAAATTTAATGTGATAAGGATGATATTTCTAGTATTTTCCAATTTGAAGATAATTTATTTATCATGATCTTTAATGAAATAATTAATAGTAGTTTTTTTTAAATTTATTTTTTGTTTTTCCTGCGAATTATATATTTTTTAAACAATTTTATTTATTTACTAGAATTTATTTATTTCCAATAAACAAGTTTTTCATGGGAATTGACGATAGAATCACCATTATTGTTTCTTTTTTTTCTTGCAATAACTTGAGCCTTCGTACAAACTTTCTGATCACCATCGAACACACCGATGCAAGGAAATCCACAAATTTCCACTTCCAATTTTTTAACTTCATCACAGCCAAAACTTCCTTGCATAAAACGAACGTCTATGGCTTGATTATCTTGGTAAAATTTATGTTGCAGTTCAACGGCTTGTGTTTTTAAACGAAAACAAAAGATATTAATAACTTCACGACTAATTTTAAAAGCTAGATCGTTAAATTCATCGCTAGTTTCTTTATCCGTTATTTGCCTAAATTGTTTCATTTCATCTAACAATTTATTTGCCGTTCTCTTAATTAAAGGATCTTCATCATTGGAAAAACCGCGACAGCCAAGTGCTGAATAAACATGTTGACGAACTTTGATTGGTGTAACTTTAGTTATATTATCACTTCCTTTACGATGCTCTCTAAATAATTCGGTGTATCTAATTAAACTATCGGTTGCGTTTACAATATCACTTTCTAGAAGATCAATGTCGTCAGAATGTGCACTTTGTATATGATAATATACCTCATTCAAAATTGTTGTGATCGTGCAACGTTGAAGTATCGCTCCTAATACAAGATCCCCATCCGTACTTGGATATTTCGTTTGACAGTTATATACCTTTAAAATATTTGTTGCTGAATCTTTATTAACTTTAAAATCACTTCCTTGAACCATTGTAAAATCTGTGAGCATATCCTGTAATTCTTCAATGTCAGAAATTAATCTTGATGTACTGTTGGAATCATCATCATCCCAAGATACATTTATTACATTTCCAAGAGCCCCTTGTTGTTGTGAATTTTCTTCATTCAAGGACTTTATCTGTTCTTGTAATTTTTCTACTTCTTTTTTCCATGCATTTTGTATATTTTTCGCAGTTACTCGAAAAGAATTCATTCTATGATAGATCGTTTGTCGTAAAAACATTTTTTGATCAGACGTTAAATGTAGTAGTTGTTTCTCAAAAGCATGTGAATATTTTAATCCATGATCAACTAATTCTGCCCAAGCATTATCGGTTAACCTTTTTCTCAATGCACGATTGTAGTCGCAGCGAGAGTTTTTATATTCCATTAAATTGCTAATATATACATTACTTTGCGCAATATCTAACGCTTTGAAGTCAGCCAATTCTTTTACGAACTCAACCATATTTTTGGTTTCATCAATGAATTCTTGTAAAAGTAGTGGATTATTTCGTAAATAAATAGAATTCCAAATTATGATAAATAAATAAATAAAGTTTTCAACTTTTTTCAAAGAAGCCAACCATTTGATTAACTTCCACTCTTCATTACTGAGTGATTCTAATTTATAAAATGCCATGTTATTATATCGCGTTACACGTTGTTTGAATACGATACTAGTGGTTGTGGATGTACCTTTTTTTATTTCTTTTTTTTTTAAAAAAATATTTTCAAAATGTCGTTCATGCAACATGCAAATACATGTGATAAAAGTATTTGTCATGCAGATATGCGCGGCGTTTCTTATTTAAGAAATGGTTTCTTTTTGTTATCATGCTTATCTTTAATATTATAGATTTTTATTAAGAAATGAGGGGTTCCATACATATGTTGACTCTGTCATATTATAGTAAGCCTTTAGAAGGTAAGTTTCAACCATTTTAGAAATTTCTCTTCTAAATAAATTCTAAATTGCAAACAAATTTGTTTTATATAATTTTCTTTCATATGTGGAGAAAGTATGGCTTTACGAGATATTAGAATTCTTGTTGCAATAGACTTTGGAACTACTTTTTCTGGTTTCGCGTACGTTCACAAAAAAAAACCCTGAAAGTGTTGTTGTAAACGAAACTTGGTAGGTAATTTATATCATTATCGTAATCAATGTCCATCTTATTTTAAAAATAAAAAAATAAAATAAAAATAAAAATGATTCTTTTTTGTTCCAATTTTTAGGCCAGGACGACAAGGTAATCCTAAAACACCTACAGCAATTCTATATGATAAGGAATATACGAACGTTATATGCTGGGGATATTCGGCATTGGAAGAAGAACCTGATGAAGAATTGGATGATCCGGAAGAACGTCCACGTCCTGTATAATTATTTAAATTGCATTTATCGGACTTACAAAGGCATGAAAAACCTTGGTTACCCGGCCAATTGACTTACAAACAAGCCATTGTGGATTATTTAACTCAAATGAGGAAATTAATCAAAGAAACTCTTGAGAAACGATGGCCTACTATCAAGTTTCCTCAACAAGTTGATCTTGTATTTACAATTCCTGCTGAGTGGGTACGTAAATGAACAAATTAAAATTAAAAAATTTTTTTTCTTCATTTTTGGCAAAACATATATTTGTTCTCGTTTTAAATGTTGATATTGCCTCCAAATACAACCAGAATCATGAGAGAATGTGCATATAACGCAGGATTATTGACCTCCATTGCTTCAAACAACATCGATTTTACTACGGAACGTTTGTTTCTTCTATCGTACTTTTTAATCGTAACATTTTATCCATTTTATCAGCCGAGGTTGCAGCACTTCACTGTCTTAAAGTCATAACTTAAAACCCAGGGGGTATGTGTTATGTTCTTCCTATTGGATTGATTATTAAGTTTACATTACGCTTATTACCTTTTTTTTCTGAAATAGATTCCTTCTTTGTAGCTGATTGTGGTGGTGGTACAGTAGATTTGACATCACGAAAACTTCTACCAGAAAATAAATTGAGTGAAATTACTGAGCGCATCGGTGATCTTTGTGGCAGCACATTCGTTGATAAAGAATTTTATCATGGCTTGGTAGAAAAGTAGGATTTAAAGCTTTGGAAAGTTTAAAATCAAATAATGACGGACAAATGCAATTATTAGTACAAAGATTTTTTGTCAACGTATCAAGTTTAAATTTAATGAGGAATTGGCAGATTTTAAAGTTAAATTTATAAGATTAAATTTAAAAAAATATTGCCCTAATTTGATAGATTATGTTG